ACACACACACACACACACACACACACACACACACACACACACACACACACACACACAGGTTCTGTCTCATGCTGCTGATTACAGCTTCATAGAACCAAGGCTGTGTGACGGAGCTGTTTTAATCGGCTCTTTGTGTTTGTGTGGGAGTATTTATGTTGTGTACAGTATTAGTGTCGTAACACAACCCGGTTCTGTTTACTTTGTGTGTTTTTTTGTGTTGCAACCTTTTCTCTGAGTGTAACTTAGCAGGTTTGGCTGAGGTGCATTTAACTGTGCTTATTATGAACCCACAGGTTTCTGTTTGTCATCATGTCACCCGTTTTTTTTTTCTTTTTTCTTTTTGCTTAGTCACTCATTCATGACTCATCACTTTTTCCTTCATCAGTCGCTCATATCAGCTTTCAGAAAGACTCAAAAGTGCATGCGTACCTTTAGCAGTGAGTGTCCTTCATACATGTGGAAGCGACCCTGCATGCACACGCATGACTTCCCCTTCAGCTCGCCGAAAACCAGCCGGCCTGCATGGCCCTGCACTGCAACAGACACACAAACACACAGGCAAATAAAAACTCTTCCTTCTCTACTTGTGGAATGAAAAAAATCTTGCTAGTTGAGCTCTGTTCCTTGTTAAGAACAAAGCTTTGATATTCAACTTTAGGAAAAGGCACAGAGGCTGATTTCCCAAAACAAATGTGTTCCCACCGGTTTTAGTTTTGACTCAATTGTTTCTGTTGTTGTGGAACTGCTTGGAGATTCACCTTTCTTGCTGGTTTCTTTGTGAGATATTGTGCAACCTGAACTGTTTTGAACCCAGCAGACTTTCAACACTCTGTTTTGTTTTGTGCAAACACTATAAAACTTTAAAAGCTGCTTATTATCTTGCAGGTATTTGGAAAAAAAAATAGATAGACTGAGAATAACTGGTCAACTTTCCAAATTAGAGTGCAGTTAGCTGCAGTTAGCTTTAATAATGTGTTGGAATCAATGCAGACAAATTAATAAGAAAATAATTCTCTTTTTTATCATCTTTTTCCACAAAAACATATATTTTTATTCATTGTGTCTGATGAGCATGTTGTGTTGAGCTAAATTTTCACCATTTAAAAAAATATTTTTTTTTATAAGTTTGAATTAAAGTAAAACAAAAGCTATTTTGTAGTACCTGTGCTCTGAGGGAAGCCTGGTATGTCAGAGTAAGCGAAAGAGACTTGACATTTGAGGGTGTCAGCGAGCGTGCCCAGTCCAGAGCCACAAATAATCGCCACCTGGGGGCGGTGCTTCGTTTGAGACATCAGCCAATCGACTGTCTTCTGGTATTCGTCATGACTGCCAAAAAAAAAA